TACATGCATGGCTGTGGGTATTGCTGTTGAGGTACCATGTATCCAGGTGGAAACATTCCAGGATATGGGCCATATGCACAGGGCATACTGGGATATGGCTGTGGTGGTCCAAGGAATTGTTGTGGGAATGGTCCACCATATCCAGGAAACGGTACTGGAAAGCTCCCAGGAACTGGTACACAAGGAGCTGGATACCCGTATGGATTAAGAGATGGCAAGTATGGTCCACCATAGTATCCAGGAGGTGCTGCACAAGGTGTCATTGCTGGATTCATCTTGTTGCTTAATTTTCAGTAGTTCAAAGTTACGGAAATTATCACGCCGTTTGATACTACTGAAACAGTTAATCGGAGAATGTGTGTATATTTATTGCGTGTACGTTGCGCTATTTCCACGTCACGGTAAGCGAAACCGCCGGTGAAAATATTACACACTAATGTTACCGATTCGCTACAAGACCCGTGTAGTCACCGTGATCTGAATTAAACGTAACTTATAAAGCCGGTTTAATTCATCGATATAGTCCAGATAATTTTACTTTACTACCTCTATCTTTTCTCTCTATCTTCTGTCTATCTTTAATTACTGTTTTACGATGTTGTTTTCTATCTTTATTGAAGCTTATTGTTGAATTAAGTTGGACACAATAAGTAATTGTATTTATTAAACCAATTAAATTCAACACAAAAGTTTCTGGTGATTTAGTTAGACGTTTCTCTTTTCTGTCTATCCTTTTCTTTCTATCTGTATATCGGTAGTAAAACAGCGTTTCCTTTATCTTTGCTTTTATTTGATAATTCTGTATTGGTCCAAAATATTAATTCCGTTGTCTATCTCTTAATTAATTACTTAATCTGTAAATTAACTTGCTTAATAAATTACCGCACTGACTCTTACAACGTTAATGTAAACGCCCGATGGCAGACGGCGGTAGCAGTAAGTATTGATGTTAAATTGTTAATAAAATAAATACCTAATAAACTAATTAATCAAAGATTATAATCAATTAATGATGTTAAATAAATTGATTATATTTTTGCAAAGAAGTTTACTGTTGTTTCACAGAGCTAATATGTAAAAACGTAACTCTACAAAATCAGTTCACTGTTGTTCAAAGCGAGCACGTGCGCTTTAATCTATATATAGCTAAAACAGGTAAACCGGTTTGAGTAAACTAGCTCCGTGAAACTACATGTACATAAAACTAACAAAAACACTATATCTCTCTACTTTCCCCCAAAATATTTTTTAAGGAACTTAGAGAGAAAAAGCAACAATATATAAATATTCTATATCCAAATTAAATTACGAGTCGAGAAGAAAACGGCACTCCTCGAAAATTGTCAACACGAGTGACAATAACTTTTCAATAGAAAAAAAAAATATTTGTCTCGTGCAAAGGAAAGAAATATACGAACAATTTAGAATAAAGTTCAGTCGATGTGGCACATTACAAGTGACCGAGATTGAATGAACCGAGAAGAAAAAAAAATGTAATTTGCACAAGACAATGAAAATATCAAAAAAATTCGTACTGACGTTTACAAAAAACGCCCTTACGATATTGTACACTAAGTATAATGAAAATATTCAAATTTTTCGTACTGACGTTTACAAAAACGCCCCTACGATATTGTACACTATAAAAATATTCAAAATTTTCGCACTAACGTTTACAAAAAACGCTGTACGATAAGTATAATACTAATGAAAAACGAAAATGCAAAAATAATTGGACCGTGATATCACCACGTGTTCAAATGCGACTCACGCGTGAAAAAATAATATGGCAAATTAGTCAAATTGTTGGAACTTTGCAAATAACGTTAATTTAAACGCCTGTAAGCAACAGTTTTCTAAAATGACTTAAGTTAATGCAAAACATTCCACATGAGTGTTTTTACTCACGAGTGACAGACAATTCACCCATGAATTTTGCTAATAAAAACGTAAATTCAATAAGCCCCGCACCGAATTACCGGCGACGCCAATGTAGTAAAATATAAACATATTTTACTATGAATATAATTGTCGCCTACCTTAAAGTAAGTACAACTAAGGTGACGACGGTTAACCAAATTCTACATGGTGAATACGGTACAGGTAACAACCCAACAAGGGAAAAGGTAACACACGTGGTGAGTGGTTTGAGGACTGGACCGGACTGACGATAGAAGCATGCTGGCCAGCACGGGTGGATGAGTATGAGGTCAGGGTGAAAGGTCATAGGGAATACATTAACATACACAATTTCACTACATTCCTCCCCGTTTTATTTAATAAATCTAGGAGCAATTACTGTAATTTACTTAGAGGAATGTAAACCAGAAATATATAAATATTATCTTGTATGGCATGGAAAACGTATTAACTAATTCATGTATCCACATGAACTTGGACGGAATTACATCCAGCACCTTAGTTCTGCAGGATAAACATGTTTGTATGTGGCAAGATTTATTAAAGTAAGTTAATATACGAATTATGATAATCCGCATGTAACTTCCACATTGGATCAAATGACCATGTTTAGCCATACGCATTCCAAGTTGTATGTTATACATTTCCTATGTTTTAACACTTAATATAGCCAAAAGGAATATAACTTACCTATGACCTAACACTGACCTACTTCCATGAGAGTCCTGAAACTGAATGGAGTCATGGCATATGCATGGTTTAGTCAAGTGAGAATCAGTTGTACCAGTATATAACTTTTATCGTGTATACAACTGATTTACCTATATATTGTGCAAGAGTGCAGTAATATATGTTAGAACATAACAACAATCAGATAAACTAACTGCTGTGATGTATATTACTGCTAACTAACTTAATATGAATATATTTTAATGTATGTCCGTCACCTTAAATATGTCAAGGCCTAATACTGTACTTTAAAACTTATAATAAGTAACTAACTTAAGCCTAACCTAAACTAAGTAAACTGTAGATTTTCTTACTACCTATCCTGACAACTAAAGTAACTAAAGAAGGTTCGTTTTCTTAATTGTCGACTAATCATAGGAGACGCTATGAAATATATAACTATTAAACGTATTTACAAAACATATTCCGCATCAGTACCGTCACTTTCTATAATTAGTTAGCCGGGTATGATACGGAAAATGTATGACATATAACTATATACAAACTATGTAACGCAATCCGCCCAATACCGTCACTGAGAAAGGTCAGCCAAGTATATATTCGGGAAGCATAAGGTTATTTACATAGAGCAATCCTGCCCAATACCGTCACTGAGAATGGTCAGCCAGGTATCTGACGGAAAGCACAAAGTTATTTATATAGAGCAATCCAGCCCAATACCGTCACTGAGAATGGTCAGCCAGGTATTTGACGGAAAGCATCGACTACATAAATAATGTGATCTGCCAGGATATACCGTCACTGAGTAGCAGCCGGGTATATCCAACAGTAGGCATAAGTATTGCATGTTCACACCAGTCCTGATTGAAGTATTCCTGGGTAGGAACTGGGTCAAAGACATGCAACAGAATAGATCATTGCATAATTATGACATATGTTGCCTGAATATGCTTTACCCAGATCAGATCTCCATGGAACAGTGAGAGGAACTACATCATCTAGGACACAGCACCAGTAGTGAATTCCACCACAAGTCAAGTCTTCAATGTTGAAGTTTGACCTGTAAAAGGGACAAGCTACGTCTATCCTAGATGATGCGTCTGTATTGGTATGCTCTTTGTCATCCCTGTGTACAGTCATGTTGTATAACTCTTCTGTCCAACGAGCTAGCTGGCGTACGTATGATAAAGCATCTTCCCAGCATCGAAAAAAGTACGAAAAGACTATTACTGCCAAGAAGTTCCTTACCATAGTTGTGCAGTAGCGCCGTTGTTTAGATGACAGGGTTAAGCTAGCATAAGTGATAATTCTCTCTTCACTGTCGTGGATTGTATTCTGAGCTCTTACTGAAATTTCTTTTATAATAAATACTAACCTCAAAATATTAAATTTATCTTACTTCTTACTAAAATCTCAAGTAATATATATATAAAGTACAGCTAAATGCTTACTTGTGAGATTTTAGTACTATAACCATGAAAGTTAATATTGCATGTGCATATCTACACCACAAGTGCATTGAGCATTGCTGAGTGATTTATTGATTTATTTCTGTGTAATAATGAGCTCAGGCAAAGAACATGTATATATATTTAAAGATATTCTGTACTTATAATGTGAGCAACAGTCAAGCAATACTCAAATACTGACTAGGGTGCAAATAAGTTTCTTAAAATCTATTAAATGTTATGCATTTATACACCATTTCCATCTACAATCTACACTATTTCCCCTCCCTTTTATTTTTAAATGAAGGAAGCAGTAGTAGTAGATAGCTGCTCTAATTGATGTAGGAATACTAGAGCTTATCTAAATGTAGTTTGTGCATATATAATTAACTATACTGGTATATTGACTATTGTATACAAATTACTAAAAGTACTAGAATTGTGTAGGCAATTCTATAAGTAATTTTGCTAAATAATAACTAAACAGTGCTGCAAGTTATAGTTATAATATTAATCACTTATGTTGGTAATGTTAGTAAGCTAAGTATAATGATCCACTTACTGGATATCTAATCTGAATATATATATGATACAAGAACTAAAATACTGTAGGTAAGTTAGTCAACTACCAACTACTACCAGTTGATAGTTAACAACCAGTTCTTGTTTAAATGTTAGTAGCTCGAATAAATTAGAGTTGAATAAGGTTAGACTGCAATAAACTAATGTTATTAACACTACAGTCTACTGACTTGATACTAAGTACTAGAATATGTTTACTAAAATGATTAGATAACTACACTTGTTTGATATAAATCTTAAATAACGCTTAATTTTTCTAATTTACTTATATCAAACCAACACACGAAGTATAGTAGAATTATGGTATATAACTCGATAAACACTGGGTATAAGCATTTCAGGTTTATTTAAGCAAATGATCTAAGTTAATGTGATGGGCCATGGTACAACCCAGCACTTGTTCTCAAGTGGCAGCCCAGATGGAATGCCCAGCCCATGGTCTACAAAGTGAAATACACAAACAAGCAACTCTCTGTAATTGTTCAAAGGGAGGTCCTTGTTGGCCGCATTCCAAGTAGACCTGGTTTGGCCATCTGTGGTGTCACTTTCAGTGGTGGTTATGGTAACATACACAGCTATTGCTGGTACAGAAAGCGTGGAATCAGCATTCAGCGCTTCACTTATTTCCTTCTGTTGTGGATCCAGTAGTGAAGAGGTTGCTGTTTCCTCTTGTTCTGTAACCAGCTCTTGGTAGGAGGGCTCCTGTAAATAGTCGATTGTCTGAGCATTCACAACTTTGTCATTGCTATGCTCAGGCAAAGCATCGCTCCTAGGTGGCTGTGTATCCGCAGTCAAGTCCGGTAGTTGTTGTTGGCAGTCAGATGTATCATTAGTGTCTGGAGTTGTTTGGCAACTAGCAGTTGAATACTCACTACTCTGTAGCCATAACTCAGACTCGCTGCCATCTGTCTCAGAATCATCTTTGTCCTGTATGTCTGTGTTTGGAATTCCAGGAACTTGGAGATCACCATTTGACACCATGGTATTCCACTGAATACTAGCAGGTGATATATCACCACTCGGTATTTGTGGAAAACCCGGTGGACTCTTCCTAGGAACTGTGGAGATCTGCTGCTGCTGATGGTACACTGGTGCAGGCAGGACAGATTCACAGCTGCTGGCGTCTCCAGGTTTCATCAGTGCTGAACCAGTTCTTTGTTCCTGGTCACGGATGTTATTAGGAATTTCATTTGTTGGCATAACAGGACATTGTTCAGCTACCCCATTCTGTGAGTGTGCCAACGGTGGTGGTGGCATTGGTGGTCCTCCATACATGCATGGCTGTGGGTATTGCTGCTGAGGTACCATGTATCCAGGCGGGAACATTCCAGGACATGGGCCATATGCATAGGGTATGCTGGGATATGGCTGTGGTGGTCCAAAGAATGGTTGTGGGAATGGTCCACCATATCCAGGAAATGGTACTGGATAGCTCCCAGGGTCTGGTACACAAGGAGTTGGATACCCGTATGGAATATGAGATGGCAGATATGGTCCACCATAGAATCCAGGGGGTGCTGCACAAGGTGTCATAGTAGGATTCATCTTGTTACTTTCAGTAGTTCAAAGTTACGGAAATAATCACGCCGTTTGATACTACTGAAACAGTCGGAGAATGTGTGTATATTTATTACTGTACGTTATACGCTATTTCCACGTCACGGTAAACGAAAACGCCGGTGAAAATGTTACACACTAATGCGACTGATATGCAACAAGTTCCGTTTAATCGCCGTGATCTGAATTAAACGTAACTTATAAAGCCGGTTTAATTCATCGATATAATCCAGATAATTTTACTTTACTGCCTCTATCTTTTCTCTCTATCTTCTTCTGTCTATCTTGATACGATGTTGTTTTCTATCTTTATTGTAGCTTATTGTTGAATTAAACGTTACTTTGACACAATAAATAATTGTATTTAAGCCAGTTTAATTCAACACTAAAGTTTCTGGTGATTTAGTTAGACGTTTCTCTTTTCTGTCTATCCTTTTCTTTCTATCTGTATATCGGTAGTAAAATAGCGTTTCCTTTATCTTTGTTTTTATTTGATAATTCTGTATTGGTCCAAAATATTAATTCTGTTGTCTATCTCTTAATTAATTACTTAATCTGTAAATTAACTTGCTTAATAAATTACCGCACTGACTCTTACAACGTTAATGTAAACGCCCGATGGCAGACGGCGGTAGCAGTAAGCACTGATGTTAATAAAATAAATACCTGATAAACTAATTAATCAAAGAATATAATCAATTAATGACGTTATCTGAATTGATTATATTTTTGCAAAGATATTCACTGTTGTTGCACAGAGCTAATATGTAAAAACGTAACTCTACAAAATCAGTTCACTGTTGTTCAAGGCGAGCACGTGCGCTTTGATCTATATATAGCTAAAACAGGTAAACCGGTTTGAGTAAACTAGCTCCGTGAAACTCTACATAAAACTAACAAAAACACTATATCTCTCTACTTTCCCCCAAAATATTTTTTAAGGAACTTAGAGAGAAAAAGCAACAATATATAAATATTCTATATCCAAATTAAATTACGAGTCGAGAAGAAAACGGCACTCCTCGAAAATTGTCAACACGAGTGACAATAACTTTTCAGTATTAAAAAAAAAAAACTAATTGTCTCGTGCAAAATGATAAATTATACAAACAATTTCAGAATAAAAATCAATCGTTGTGGCACAAGTGGCCGAAATTGAATGAACTAAGAAGAAAAAATAATGCAATTTGCACAAGACAATGATTGAATGAAAATAAATATTCTAAATTTTCGTACTGACGTTTACAAAAACGCCCTTACGATATTGTACACTAAGTAATAATGAAAATATTCAAAATTTTCGTACTAACGTTTACAAAAAACACTGAACGATAAATATAATACTATAAATACTAATGAAAAACGAAATTGCAAAAATAATTGGACCGTGATATCACCACGTGTTCAAATGCGACTCACGAGTGAAAAAATACTGAGTAGCATGGCAAATTAGTCAAATTGTTAGAACTTTGCAAATAACGTTAACTATAACGCCTGTAAGCAACAGTTTCCTATAAAAATGACTAAATGCAACATTCCATGTGAGTGTTTTTACTCACGAGTGACAGACAATTCACCTATGAATTTTGCTAATAAAAACGTAAATTCAATAAGCCCCGCACCGAATTACCGGCGACGCCAATGTAGTAAAATATGAAAAATATGAACATATTTTACTATGTAATAATTGTCGCCTACCTTAAAGTAAGTACAACTAAGGTGACGACGGTTAACCAAATTCTACATGGTGAATACGGTACAGGTAACAACCCAACAAGGGAAAAGGTAACACACGTGGTGAGTGGTTTGAGGACTGGACCGGACTGACTAGTTAAGCGTGCTGGCCAGCACGGGTGGATGAGTATGAGGTCAGGGTGAAAGGTCATAGGGAATACATTAACATACACAATTTCACTACATTCCTCCCCGTTTTATTTAATAAATCTAGGAGCAATTACTGTAATTTACTTAGAGGAATGTAAACCAGAAATATATAAATATTATCTTGTATGGCATGGAAAACGTATTAACTAATTCATGTATCCACATGAACTTGGACGGAATTACATCCAGCACCTTAGTTCTGCAGGATAAACATGTTTGTATGTGGCAAGATTTATTAAAGTAAGTTAATATACGAATTATGATAATCCGCATGTAACTTCCACATTGGATCAAATGACCATGTTTAGCCATACGCATTCCAAGTTGTATGTTATACATTTCCTATGTTTTAACACTTAATATAGCCAAAAGGAATATAACTTACCTATGACCTAACACTGACCTACTTCCATGAGAGTCCTGAAACTGAATGGAGTCATGGCATATGCATGGTTTAGTCAAGTGAGAATCAGTTGTACCAGTATATAACTTTTATCGTGTATACAACTGATTTACCTATATATTGTGCAAGAGTGCAGTAATATATGTTAGAACATAACAACAATCAGATAAACTAACTGCTGTGATGTATATTACTGCTAACTAACTTAATATGAATATATTTTAATGTATGTCCGTCACCTTAAATATGTCAAGGCCTAATACTGTACTTTAAAACTTATAATAAGTAACTAACTTAAGCCTAACCTAAACTAAGTAAACTGTAGATTTTCTTACTACCTATCCTGACAACTAAAGTAACTAAAGAAGGTTCGTTTTCTTAATTGTCGACTAATCATAGGAGACGCTATGAAATATATAACTATTAAACGTATTTACAAAACATATTCCGCATCAGTACCGTCACTTTCTATAATTAGTTAGCCGGGTATGATACGGAAAATGTATGACATATAACTATATACAAACTATGTAACGCAATCCGCCCAATACCGTCACTGAGAAAGGTCAGCCAAGTATATATTCGGGAAGCATAAGGTTATTTACATAGAGCAATCCTGCCCAATACCGTCACTGAGAATGGTCAGCCAGGTATCTGACGGAAAGCACAAAGTTATTTATATAGAGCAATCCAGCCCAATACCGTCACTGAGAATGGTCAGCCAGGTATTTGACGGAAAGCATCGACTACATAAATAATGTGATCTGCCAGGATATACCGTCACTGAGTAGCAGCCGGGTATATCCAACAGTAGGCATAAGTATTGCATGTTCACACCAGTCCTGATTGAAGTATTCCTGGGTAGGAACTGGGTCAAAGACATGCAACAGAATAGATCATTGCATAATTATGACATATGTTGCCTGAATATGCTTTACCCAGATCAGATCTCCATGGAACAGTGAGAGGAACTACATCATCTAGGACACAGCACCAGTAGTGAATTCCACCACAAGTCAAGTCTTCAATGTTGAAGTTTGACCTGTAAAAGGGACAAGCTACGTCTATCCTAGATGATGCGTCTGTATTGGTATGCTCTTTGTCATCCCTGTGTACAGTCATGTTGTATAACTCTTCTGTCCAACGAGCTAGCTGGCGTACGTATGATAAAGCATCTTCCCAGCATCGAAAAAAGTACGAAAAGACTATTACTGCCAAGAAGTTCCTTACCATAGTTGTGCAGTAGCGCCGTTGTTTAGATGACAGGGTTAAGCTAGCATAAGTGATAATTCTCTCTTCACTGTCGTGGATTGTAATCTGAGCTCTTACTGAAATTTCTTTTATAATAAATACTAACCTCAAAATATTAAATTTATCTTACTTCTTACTAAAATCTCAAGTAATATATATATAAAGTACAGCTAAATGCTTACTTGTGAGATTTTAGTACTATAACCATGAAAGTTAATATTGCATGTGCATATCTACACCACAAGTGCATTGAGCATTGCTGAGTGATTTATTGATTTATTTCTGTGTAATAATGAGCTCAGGCAAAGAACATGTATATATATTTAAAGATATTCTGTACTTATAATGTGAGCAACAGTCAAGCAATACTCAAATACTGACTAGGGTGCAAATAAGTTTCTTAAAATCTATTAAATGTTATGCATTTATACACCATTTCCATCTACAATCTACACTATTTCCCCTCCCTTTTATTTTTAAATGAAGGAAGCAGTAGTAGTAGATAGCTGCTCTAATTGATGTAGGAATACTAGAGCTTATCTAAATGTAGTTTGTGCATATATAATTAACTATACTGGTATATTGACTATTGTATACAAATTACTAAAAGTACTAGAATTGTGTAGGCAATTCTATAAGTAATTTTGCTAAATAATAACTAAACAGTGCTGCAAGTTATAGTTATAATATTAATCACTTATGTTGGTAATGTTAGTAAGCTAAGTATAATGATCCACTTACTGGATATCTAATCTGAATATATATATGATACAAGAACTAAAATACTGTAGGTAAGTTAGTCAACTACCAACTACTACCAGTTGATAGTTAACAACCAGTTCTTGTTTAAATGTTAGTAGCTCGAATAAATTAGAGTTGAATAAGGTTAGACTGCAATAAACTAATGTTATTAACACTACAGTCTACTGACTTGATACTAAGTACTAGAATATGTTTACTAAAATGATTAGATAACTACACTTGTTTGATATAAATCTTAAATAACGCTTAATTTTTCTAATTTACTTATATCAAAACCAACACACGAAGTATAGTAGAATTATGGTATATAACTCGATAAACACTGGGTATAAGCATTTCAGGTTTATTTAAGCAAATAATCTAAGTTAATGTGATGGGCCATGGTACAACCCAGCACTTGTTCTCAAGTGGCAGCCCAGATGGAATGCCCAGCCCATGGTCTACAAAGTGAAATACACAAACAAGCAACTCTCTGTAATTGTTCAAAGGGAGGTCCTTGTTGGCCGCATTCCAAGTAGACCTGGTTTGGCCATCTGTGGTGTCACTTTCAGTGGTGGTTATGGTAACATACACAGCTATTGCTGGTACAGAAAGCGTGGAATCAGCATTCAGCGCTTCACTTATTTCCTTCTGTTGTGGATCCAGTAGTGAAGAGGTTGCTGTTTCCTCTTGTTCTGTAACCAGCTCT